AATCTTGAAAATTCTGGAAAGGGAGACTTTAATCGTCAGCAAGTGGGTATTTGATCGGTCCGAATTTGACCGGTGTACTTCGGGAAAAAGTATACCGGTCAAACTACTTATCACTCCATTCATTCCCTAAGTACGATAAACTCATCCCTCAGAAATTACCCGGTGTAGTTTCTAGGGTTGGAAAGTGTCGGCAGAGGAGAATCTACGAGGGCTTGGCGTGTAGCGACCCATGTCAGTAGAGAACAACTGGAGATGCTGAAGAATCCATCCAAGGCACTACCTGACAAAGGGAATAATCCCCCTCACAAGGCGACAAGGTAGCTAAGAGACGAGGCCCATCACCTCTCAACATCCGAGACACGTGCCTCCACGTGGGCGCACGTGGGCTTGTCCCCCCAAACCTAGTATAAATACGGCTGTAACTCTTAGAAGTAGGGATCCGAATTCATTCTCTCTAAACTCCCTTGTAAAAGCACCCGTGCATTCTCCATTATAATACAAATTGGGCTACAGGTGTTCCACCTAAAGTCCTACCGGTCAATCTGCGTGTTTTTACCTTTCCTACTTTGCCAAATCAAGTGAACTATTCTAGACCCGGTCTAGTATAGTTTGACCGGTCAAGTAATTTACCCCATCATTTTTGGCGCCGACCGTGGGACCGTTAAGGTTTCTTCTCCTAAACACAAACTTACCCACCAAAACACCACTCGAAATGTCTTCCAGCCAACAAATCAACACTACCTCTGCTCAGGTGCAGGCCACCAACGAAGGCACCAGCATCCCTGTGGCTGCTACCATACCGGTCATTTCAGCCTCGGTGTTGCCTTTGGGTCTGAGCTCTGTCCCGACGGCCAGCGTGATCAGCCCCTTTGCGACCCCCGTCCCTTCCGCTGGACCGAGGGTCACATTCCCACCAAGCATGACTCAGTTCATGAATGACCCAGCCAACCTACAAGCCATCCAGGGCTTCGGTCAAGTCATGGCCATGTGCCAGCAGAATGGGGGGATGCCTTTCCTCCCTGGTATGTTCCCGTTCGCTCTTCCAGGCGCGGTAACCATTCCCCTACAAGCCCCGATGGCGGAGACGCCGTCCCAGACGCCGATGCCGCAGCTATCACCTTTCCAACCCCAGCTGGTCAGCACCATGGCCCCTGTAAACTTGACCGGCGCACTTAACGCCGCAGGGCCGTCGCGTCCCCCGCAAGCTACGAATCCACAGATCACTCCTGATGGTCATTGCGTCTCAATTGAGAGTGATGACGGCGAGTGGGACATTCGAGGGCCCACAAGAAGAAGAAAGGAAAAAACATCCGTCCGGCAACTTCTCGAAACTCCGCCTTCGAAAGGCTGGGGGATAGGGAAGAGGGCCAGAGAAAGTCAGCCAAGCTGAGGCTGGGGCAGAGCATTGTCCATGTCAACAGGTTCGCCCGGTTAGGCGAGGGAATGGAGGCCAAGCCTGCCCGCACCCAGTGCTCCCGGTCAAACCGGCGGTAGCCAGCAAGGACGAGGGCCTCTCGTCAAAAAGAGGAAGCGGAGAGCCAACCCAGGTTACCAATGGCTAACCGGTTAACCATCCCCAATGATCGCGTTCAGCAGATGGAGGCAAAATTGGAAAGGCTAGAGAAGAAAGTCGGTGAGAAGAATGACCGGGACAAACCCCTCGCAGGGTCCCCGTTCACCACAAGGGTCCATCTGACACCTTTCCCGTGAAAGGTCAAGATCGACGCACCTAGATTTACCGGTAAGGAGGACCCAGAAATCCACTTGGACTCCTTCAATCAGAATGCAACCATGAATGGTTGTACAGACGAAGAAAAGTGCCTCCTTTTCTTTCAAACCTTGCAGGACAGAGCTACTGAATGGTTCAACAAGATTCGCCCGGGAAACATCGATTCATTCAGCGACTTGGCCTTGAAATTCAAGGCCAAGTTCCAAGAGAACTGTACTAAGAGGAAGAAATTCACCTATCTTAGTACAGCCGGGCAGAGGGAGTCCGAGAACCTCACTCAATTCCTTACCCGGTGGAAAGAGGAGGTAGACAAGGTGGAAGAGATGGATGACAAAACCGTCTTATCCCTCCTCTTGAATGGCTTGCGTGCTGGGGAACTATACAAGGAGTTCTGCCGGAAACCCCCGGCCACGTACCAAGAGGCCTACCACACTGCATGGGAGTTTGCTGAGGCTGAAACCCAACTCCGGGCAAAGAAAGAAGCTGAGCATGGTTACAAGCCCCAGCCGGTGCAAGTCAAGAAGGAAGAAGCCCCGGGACCTAGCCGGCCAAGACACCACTATGACCCGGTTGTCCGTGTGGTCAATACAGAGGAATGCCAAGAAATCCGGAAAGCACCGGTCATTCTTCCGGCAAACCCTACCGGTCAAACAGGGCGGCAATGGTCGGGCACCTATTGTTCGTACCACAGGTCAGATTCCCATAACACCTCTGAATGCAAAGGTGTTAAGGGGGTGATCCGGCAAATGATAGACAGTGGAGAACTGGGCAAAGATTACCTGCAAAAGGCCCAGGAGAAGAACCACCAATGGATTAGGCCAGCAACCCAGGGAAATGACCGGGATACTGACCGGCGGAGGAATAACCGGTAGAGGGAGCAGTAGCCGGCCGCGGAAAAGGAACACATCGTCATTTATTATGTGAGCAAAAGCACTAAATGGAGCTGAAAGTAGATACACAGCGATGGAGAAAACAGCCTACGCGCTTTTCATCTCCGCCAAAAAGTTAACATCCTACTTCCAAGCTCACCCGGTAGAAGTCTTAACTGACCAACCGCTGGGTGCAGTGTTGCGAAATTCAACATCCTCCGGGAGGATGGTGAAGTGGGCAATGATGTTAACTCAATTCAATATTGAGTACCGGCCAAGGTCAGCAATCAATGGACATGCCCTAGCTGACTTCCTAGTAGAAATGACTGGTCTAACTCCAAACTTACCGGTCAACAAGCCCACTGAGCAATGGTGGGAGATGGCAGTTGACGGGGCATCCGGTCCTAGAGGATACGGGGGTGGTATCGTGTTCACCACCCAGAAGGGTTCAAGATCTACCATGCAATCGTCTTCAACTTCAAACTGACGAACAATGAGGCAGAATATGAAGCTCTGGCTGGAGGGCTCAGGCTTGCCCAAGCCCTGAAAATCAGTCGGGTCAGTATCAAATCTGACTCTAGCCTGATAGTTGGGCAGGTGACCGGTAACATGGAAGCAAGGGAAGGACGCATGGTACAATACAAGGACCTTGTACTTGCCCTGTTGAGAGGCTTCGAAGAGTTCAAGATCGCCCAAATTCCCCGGGCGGAAAACGCGGACGCAGACCTTCTCTCAAAAATTGACGCAGTATGCTCCCGAGCATGTTTCAAAACTTGCCCGGGTAGAGGTCCTTGACCGTGCAAGCATCGAAAAATTGGAAGTCGCCGCTATAACGGTCGGAAGCCAATTTGACCGGTCAAACTTGGTCGGGGCGGACGACCATTGGATGTATGATCTGATGGAATATTTGATGGATGGGAGCTTGCCAGGACAAGATGACCGGGCAAGAAAAGTAAAGCTCAGGGCACCCCGATTCCAGATTCTTGACAGGAAGCTGTATAAAAGGGCGTTTGGGGGGCCACTCCTGAGGTGTCTGACCAACCGGGAGGCTGAACGAGTCATAGCGGAAGTCCACGAAGGCGTATGCGCGGCGCATCAAATGTCCTGTACGCTTTCCCAACGCATCATCTTGTTGGGGTATTACTGGCCAACAATTGTCCAGGATTGCGAAAGGTATGTTCAGAAATGCCGGACGTGCCAAGTATTCTACAAGTATCCTGGTAGACCGGCGACCTACTATCACCCCGTATCAAACGTCATCCCATTCGCTAGATTCGGGGTTGACATCATCGGGGCATTCCCAGTCGCCCAAGGAGGGAAGAAGTTCGTGATCGTAGCCATCGATTACTTTACCAAATGGATCGAGGCCGAAGCATTGGCCAACATCACCACGCAACAATGTAAGAAATTCATTTGGAAGAACATCATCACGAGGTTTGGAGCGCCCATGAACCTCATCACCGACAACGGCCCACAATTCCGAAATCCAAGATTCACTGAATACTTGGAGGGCTTCGGGATCAAGCACAATCGCTCCTCGGTAGCGTACCCCCAAGGGAATGGCCAAGTCGAAAACGCCAACCGAACGATTGTGGATGGTCTAAAGAAACGGCTGGGAGAAGCAGGAAACAAGTGGCTAGAAGAGCTCCCACACATCGTATGGGCATTCCGGGTAACACCCAGGAGGGCTCATGGGGAAACTCCATTCTCCCTAACCTATGGATGTGAAGCAAGGCTGCCCATCGAAGCTGAATTCCCAACGTTTCGGGAGTCAAATTATCAACCCCAGCAGAATGAGGAAGATCACTTGGCCGAACTCAACTTGGTCGAAGAGCGGAGAATGGCCGCGGAAGTCAAAATGAGCACATACCAACAAGTTGTGAAGAAGTACCACGACAACAAGGTTAGGCCGCGTTACTTCCAAGTAGACGATGAAGTCCCGCGAAGGAGAGAGGCTAGTAAGCCGGGGGACGGAAGAAAGCTGGCCAAGAACTGAAAGGACCTTACCGGGTGAAAGCAATCACTTGCCCGGGGACCTACCGGTTAGAAACTCTAGAAAGTGAGGCCTACTTTTATTATCAATCGAATTGATGGCATTCAACATTCTACGTGATAGCAACAAAAATGATAGGTCGAACCTATCCTAGGAGGGCTTCCCGGGAGGATCGAATCCACTTGGATAAGCCAACTGAGACACAGGCCC